GTAAATTCACTACTAGACAAAGATCCATATTTTTTTAACAACATAAAAAGGGAGGGAATCTTGGAAGTTCTCCATGAATCAGAGACCGGGCTGTGCACACAGTCAGACATCAACTGCACAGACAGTTTCTTGGCATGATGAGCACTGGCAGGATCTGGGGAAAGGAAGGATCTCTGCAAGCTGCAGAACAACAGAATTAGCAGAACAGCTCAAATCTCCCATGAAATGTCATTACTCAAAACACTACAAACCCTGTATTCAAGCAAATACTTTGAATTGGAACAGTTTAGTTGTTTCCCAAGCATAAGATGGCATGAATTATACAACCACTTCTGTAGAGCGTAATTCACTCATTTACCTCCTTTTACCTTCCTCCAAGGGCAGGGGAGCAGGGCCCCTTCTTCCAAAGAAGGATTCACCAAAGCTTAAATCAGTTTGTTAGTTTTGCTGCCATGTTAAATGTAGTTCCTTGTTCCAGATGATGCTCCTGGGTCATGGGTGCAGTGGCCCAACACCCTGCTTCAAGCAGTAGTCAGTACATGAGAATAGACAGCTATAAAAAAAATACATTATTTATTTGGTTATTAAATGGGTTTTTGTCTTCATTGACATTTCATGGAACTAAAATAAAGCAAGACATGCTCAGAGAACAAAGCTGCCTCGGGGTTGTGGGTGACATTTTTCAGACTGATGCTTACATCATTTAAATTTATTTACTGTCTAGTTTATTTCTGTGTTTGAGCTCAAGTAACTTCGTATTTGGGAAACGAAAACGAGGTTTGTCATTGTAAGGGATGGCTGCTGCCAAAACTCAGTAACGGTCTCAGGTTTGAAGAATTGGTTATTAACAGTTCTGCTGTTGTTAAAATGCCTGTTGTGTAACTACACATTGGTGCTTAGTATCACAGTTAGTGTGATGCAGTGCTCCCTCATGAAATCTGAGTTGAAGAACAGGCTTGCTCAGAATCACAGAATAGTTAGGGTTGGAAAGGACCTTGAGATCACCCAGTTCCAACCCCCCTGCCCTGGGCAGGGACACCTCACACTAAACCATGGCACCCAAGGCTCTGTCCAGCCTGGCCTTGAACCCTGCCAGAGATGGAGCATTCACAACTTCCTCAGGCAACCCATTCCAGTGCCTCACCGCCCTTACAGTAAAGCATTTCCTCCTTATAGCCAATCTAAGATTCCCCTGTTTAAGTTTTAACCCATTAACCCTTGTCCTGTCACTACAGTCCCTAATGAAGAGTCCCTCCCCAGCATCCCCATAGGCCCCCTTCAGATACTGGAAGGCTGCTATGAGGTCTCCACGCAGCTTCTCTTCTCCAGGCTGAACAGCCCCAACTTCCTCAGCCTGTCTTCATACAGGAGGTGCTCCAGCCCCTGATCATCCTCATGGCCTCCTCTGGACTTGTTCCAACAGTTCCATGTCCTTTTTATGTTGAGGACACCAGAACTGCACACAATACTCCAGGTGAGGTCTCACAAGAGCAGAGCAGAGGGGCAGGATCACCTCCTTTGACCTGCTGGTCACGCTCCTTTTGATGCAGCCCAGGATACAGTTGGTTTCTGGGCTGCGAGTGCACACTGAAGCCGGCTCATGTTCATTTTCTCAGTGACCAGCACCCCCAAGTCCTTCTCCCCAGGAAGTTACATAAAGAATTTGGTCACAGAAACAACTGAGGAGGAGCAGATTCCTGATGTCACACAGGGGTGCTCACAGTACCACAGTTAGACATGGTACGCTTACAGCCAACCAGCTCTAGAAGCACCAGTGGTAGGACAGCTCTAATGGGTTAGTACAAGAAAGCAAAATACTTCCTGTTTTCCCCTTGTCACTTCCAGGGTGTGATGGGGCTGCCTGGTTTGTGCTTAGTTCAGGGCTGGCTCTAAGCTCCCCAGTACAGTACATCCACTGCACCAAGATTAAAGATGAAGAGATCGTTCACTTCAAACTTAATTGTTTTATCTCACAGATTTAACTGTTTACAAAGGAGGCATTTGAAGCCTTTGCTTGAGTGTCAGAGAGGGCTGCTTGTTACTCTCAAGTGCTCTCAGTGCTAGAACAACCAGTAACTTCTGAATTGCAATAAGCGTTAACAGCAGGAAGCCAAATGAGAATTAATGTTTGGGGAAGACTAATTACTGGCTGCATAGATTTGTTCCTTGTTGGAACAACAGAGTTTGTCAAACAGTTGTAGAATACAGAGTTTAAACTGGTAACTCTATATAAGAAGCTTGTTCAGCTACAGAAAGGGTTCCACTATTAAATATGACAAATTGTCCAAAGTTATTTCTGACTTGCCCTTTCAGCTTTTTCTCTGTAGTTCTGGACTCTGTTTGTGTGCTAAGAGTTAAGTTCTTAGTCCTTCATTTACAGTTGTTACTTAAGAAAACCAAAACAAATCTACTGAAATGGTGAGTAATGGGAGCAGTCTCACAGCATTCCAGAGTGGTGGATTTTTACAGCATGGAAAAGAATGTTGTCTGCATGGATTTTTGGCATTTGGGAGCGTTTTGTAACTGACAGTTCTTGAGGAAATGATCTCATGGACATGATGCTATTGCAGAAACCTTTAAAAGACAAGTTTGAGGTCTGGATTTTGCAGGAGAACATCAAACGTTCTCCAGATCCAGTGACATCTATCTTAATTCTTGATGCAAAGTCTTCTTAAACAAAATGGAGCTGTGACTTTAGAGAATAAATGATTTAACTTTCAGTCAAAGGGGTGTATGAGTGTTAGATTTTGGACTACAGAAATCAAAAAGATAGTCTTGGTCATTTTACCATTAACTGGTCACTCGTGGAGGACTCACTGTGTACTTAGGGGGTGTCTGCCCCGAGATGGTACAAAAATGTTACTCTTAAACCGTGACACAACAAAACCTGCTCCAACTGTACATGAAGGAAGAGCTGCACACACAGTACAGTGACAGTACGGATATAGCTAACAGCCAGGTTTTATGTATCAGTTAACTGGACAATGCTTCCTCATGCAGGGAGGCAGAACTGCCCGTCGTAAGAGAGAAGCGCAACTGCCTCTGTGATCTCATGAACGTGCCCAAGCCACAGCTGGTGTCCAAGGTAAGAAAAAGCAACAGGCTCCAGAGGGGCTTTAGAGAAACAGTGATGATCTACCGCTCCCCACACCTACTGAGTACTTGTGTGCGCCAGCTGTGGTTCTTCACTGGTTCGGGAGGAACCTCCTCACACCTGATTGCACAATATGAGAATTGCTGGAGACTCTCTGGCTTGAGCCCTTCCAGTCTTGCTTCTTGAAAACATCCCAGGCCTGTAGCATGGCATCACCTAGAATGAAAATGCAGTGTGGATGTTTTAGACACTGACATTCCTGGGGCAAGAGAAGAACGGATAAAACCCTCCCCATCAAGTTCAACAGCAAAATGATAATGTGAGATGAAAGCAGAGCCTTCTGACATTGCCTAAGAGGCAGAATAGAATTTAACAATTAATACATTCACAGAAGGCAGACACCGTGTCCCCATGTAGGCCCCATTTCATGCACATCTTTTGGAATTGCCCATTTTCTGCTCAGTCAGGGGTTCCTCTCCTCCCTGTCCAAAGGTGAGAAGGCTGAATCAGTACTGCTTTAGAGAACATGTGTTAACATGACAACTTACAAAGAAAAGTTAGTTTTACTTTGAGCGATACAAGACAAGGTGAAAATGCTCGCTGACCTAGGACTACTTCCCTACTTACCACAGGCATCCACAGCATATGCTCTATTCTGTAAACAGATTAAGCTAAAAATAGCGGTATATTGATATATTCTTGGCCTTTGTAATACTCATTATGCTTTCATAGCTCTGGAATGCTTTGTCCTTTGTAATTATTTTCGAATTCAGAAACATCCCCCCTGCATTCTTTCCTAAAAGGGTGGATCTTCATTTCCCTCATTTTCTAAACTACCTGCACACCATTGGGTTTATTTTCATTACTAGAGTTATGCAAACCATTGATTATTTTTTTGCCCTGCACAGAACTGCATTTTTAGCATTAGCCTTTTTCACAGCTGCACCATCTGTGGCTGAAAGCCACCAAGTCCTTTCTCCTGCATAGCATCTAAAGGAGATCCTAGCTGGTGATGTTTTCACAGTGCTTGTTGAACTGGCTCTGTGTGATTGTTACCTGATGTAAGTCCTTGAGGTCAGCCAGTTCCTCCTGTGTAATACTCTGATAATCCTTTACACTGAAGATACTTCCTAATGTAAGTATCCTATGTTTTGAGTTATCATTGATTGATAGAGATATACATATATATATATATATACATATATACACACACTTTAGAAAGGTCTGTTTGTTTAACTGGTCAGAAGACCATACTTCACTGGTTACTTACGGTGAGTAAACTTCAGTGACACCCTGCTGTGCCCACAGCAGTTTCTTTACTCATCTTTCAGCTTTTCCCATCATGTCTACACCTTTGTGCTTTTAGTACGACCTTAAGCAATCTGCAACTACAGTTTTGTGATGTTGATAAGCAAGACCTGGGCCTTCTCACCCCTACAGGGAACTGGGTTTAGAGCAAAAATCACTCTGAGCATTGCTGAGTCAGGGTTTGCTATCAACCACCAGAACTGTTACATTCAAAATAAAGGTGTTTGTTACAAGATGAACTCCCTGATCTCAAAACCCCCTTATTTGAATTCGTTAATTACTGGAGGCTGAGAGAGGACTGACAAGTTAGGAGAACACTGTCTCTGATACACACAAAACAGTAAGAAATACCCAAATATACATACAGGTGTTTCAGGTGGAACTGTTAACAAACAGCATCATGTGTAATCTGGTACTCAGGTGCTGAATTTGGAACTTTATCTTTTCCTCCTTTGTTAACATGAGAGAATCATTAGTATAACTTCCAGCAAAGAGTGAAGCCTGCACCTGCCCAAGAACTGCTGGAGTTCACTCTGAAAGTGACAGTGCACAACACATTGCTCTTCCAGAGCTCCCATAAATAGAGGAAGCCAAGCCTAACAGGTGGCTAAAGTTAATTTCAGCTGAAATCAGCATTTACAGTGCCTTTAAAACTTGTACAGATAAAATCTGCTAGAGGATAGTTAGAAATCGCGGTGTTAGAAAGGACTGTAGATGCTACAGCTTTGTATGTCTGTGTTTTCTTCTCCATGTTTAGTTTACTAAATTACATGGCTGAGGTACTGTTAAAACACTGATACATGCCTACTCCATGTGTTTCTTCTCTCCTTTAGAGCTCAGCATGATGAAGCTGCAGGCACTGGCTGCTGGTCCGTCCACTGAAGCTCTGGGTTCAGGTGCCGTTAAGATGGCCGAGTTCATGCTGCCGCATCCTGACAAAGGGGCTCTCGGCAGAAGCCGCGCAGCACGCTGTTGAACAAGAGAAGAGGCAGAGATCACATCTTACAGCACTGTGCAGCTCTGCCACGGGCAGATTCAATGTGGTTCCAGTTTTTAAAGGCATTACCTGTAGCCACAAGATGGCGGTTTCTCTTCATACTTCTGTCACAGTTGACCTAGGTTATTTCTCTTGATGTCAGTGATTTATACTTCTACAACTCTGAATGGAGCTATTCAGGCCGTGCTTGCTGTACACACATTTAGTATTAAACTTGCCTTGCTGCATTAGTCTCTGAAAAGAACTGTTTTTCAGAGGTAAGTATGGCAGTGCTTAGTGATAATGAAATCTTCCTGCACATCCAGTATCTCTGTGGATAAATCTGTCATACTTATGTCATAGTAAAACAAAAAAAGCCGAGTTTCACTTCAGCTCAAGTCAAAACCTCTCAGTAGTTCTTTATAGAAGTAACTCAAGTAAATGTTTTTTGAGGTAAACTAGCTTTAGGGATTGAAGCTTTATCCCGCTGAAGAACAGAGTACTTCCAGCAACCACTAGGAATTTAGACCATTTCTTATTGACCATAAAATGAAATGGCTGGTAACATTTATGATCTTTAGCAAGGTTAATGTGCTGGGGAGGACAAATGCACAGGCAACATGATACTCTAATTACACCATGTTATTTGATGGTTTGAATTAAATCTCACTATCCCAGTGCTTCAGGTAGAACAATAGCTCTGTGTGTGTGTGTGCGTGTGTGTGTATACACGTATCTATGAAGATTTAAAAGGAAGGAAAAATTCAGGCAGAGGAGCTAAACCTAAGCCAGTTTCTCTATGAAATACCTGCTACAAACTGCAGCAATCTTCTCCTGCAGGTGTTTGTTCACTTCCAAAACTACACCCTGGCTGTCTCCCAGAGCCTTTTTAAGAAGGTAACTATAAATTCTATTATTCTGTACTTTTAAGTATACTTGCAACCTGTCCGGGAGATTAAATTCAGTGCAGATCAGAGTCATTCACTGCCTGTTACACAATCAGTACTAATTCATGTGGCCATGCGTGATGCAGGGCTGCCCACAGGTATTACTGCAGGAGGAATGCTCGTGAACCCACAGCCCCAGTTTGTTGCACTGTCATTAAAATGGAAAATTCTAGAACATTCTTAAAAGACTTCAGATTTGCAAAGTTATTCCTACAGGTCCCTGCTGCAAGAAAAACCATGAGTTGTGTTGGCAATAGCTGCTTATTCAGGAAAAGCTGAGAGGGTCCAGTGAAAACGGTGAGCATCTGTCCATGCAAACACATCTGGCTGCCAGATGACGGTACAGACACAGCTACTTTCACACAGCCCCAGTTGGAGGATGCCACGCTCCGGTCACAGCCTGGCCCTGTGCAGAGCTTTACCTCGGCCAGCACGGGCTGCGGCATCCAGTGGCAGGGAATGGCTGAGTGATGTTTGACAGAACCCTCTCTTTACACTTCCAGTGGTTACAGGCTTTGCTTAGTGCATTTCTAAGGGTTCCCTATGGTAACAGTCCCCTTGTAATCTTATGGCCTGTATTGGATGGTTCTTTAAATTAGAAATACAATTTAACGATCAAACTGAACTTGGCAAACAAGGGATGTGTAATAGTAAAATGAGCAAATAGCATTATCCATGGTGTAACCAGGACCCCCCTTAGAAAGGGGTTGCTCAGCACAAAGATTAACTTAATAAAGCACAGATTGCTAAAAAATTCTCAACCTCTCAACACTTGGGTCTTGGTACTCACAGATGCACAGAGGATAACACGGCTTCAGTATCACTGCCTTACCTTGGTTTTTAGTTAAAGTGATAATAATCCACCCCTTCCTTCAAGTTCAGCATGCTCAGGTTTGCTTCAAATGCTCCACCTGTCAAATCCTGGCAGGTGATAGAATAGAATGAGCTCAACCAGACAAACACGTTTCAGGTTGTAACAGGTTTGGGTAATTCTGGTCTTTAGACCACAGAAGAAAGTCCTATTTGCAGAACTAACCATAAACAAAAAGCCAGGCTCAGAAATGTTTCCATTCAAAAATTAAGTGTATGCTGAAAACCTGAAAGGTCAAGTAAGTATTTGGGGGGGTGTCAGACAACTCCTTCTCAGGCTGCAGTGTGGAACAGGAGGGCAATACCGGGCACAGCTCTGCAGGGTTTTTGCACACTTTGGTCCCTAATGCATCCTCAGAGAATGGACCAAGGGGGTGAGTTTGACACTGGAGTGGTTTTGAAGATTCTGAACAAGGGGTAGCTTGTCTGACAAAAGAAACCTCTCATCAGGCAGCTGAAATACTTTGCATAGGGAAAGGTTTGCTTTGAGCCCTAGTTACATTACCTGACCGGGAGCTGGGTGGGTTTGCTTCATGAGCAATTGTGCAAGGCAGTGATGATGGCATAGAGAAAGCACAGCAACTGCAGTGTTTCTGAGCATTTCTGCTGAAGTTGTGGACCAGAGTTTTCAGACAAGATGTTGTATTAGTGTCTCATTGTGAGGGCTTCACAAATTAAATGTGCTTTATAGAACAGGTTGCACAGATGTTTTGTCTAGGGACTTCCACCCACCATTATATGTAGTATGAAGAGTTAAATTAGTTGTAATATTACTAGCTTATCCAAGAGTTTATCAACCAACAGTACATGATAATGCCCTAAGGTACTTTCAGTCTGGCTTTACAACTCATAGTTATGATCTCAGAGTCGATCATAAAGTTGGGAGTGCTCAGTTAAAAGGAGACTGTACCAGATGAGATGAGATTCAGCTAATCGATCTTTGCACAGATGCAGGACAGTGCTGGGATGTCAGTATTTGTATCTAGATACAGGTTTAGTTACTGTCAGACTTTTTACTAATGCTTGCAACTAAAATGTATTTGATATTTTGCTTTAAAACTTCGGTGTTAGCCCATACACTGTGCTTTGCTATTTTAAATGTAACAGCAAAATAATTGCTGGTTATCATCTTCTAGTTACATTACTAGGTCAATTACAGCAGCTGAAATAAAGTTACCACAGTTGGGCACTTTGGAATCGGCAAGGCAAAACCAAACAGTTTTTCAGGTCTGATTTAGAAACCAAAGCCTTTGTCATACATAGGGCTGCAAAATATGAGGACTAAATGAGGCCAGGTGATAACTGTATCTGCCCATTTGTGTATATAATGTTGGGCAAGAAAGTAAAACAAATCCAAGTTCCTTTACAGAAGCTGAACTTTTCATTATTCTTAATACATCTCTACTTAGTACTACTGTCCTAAATCCCCAAAATACTCAGCACAATCAATCTGGTTCAAAAGCCATTCAATTTCCTAGTATAAGGTTCTGGGAAAAGCTACTTGCAGTAAATAGAACATAGTATTTGTAAGGATAAATGCTAGTTTCAAATGTAAAGCAAAGGCTGAAGGTGGCACTCACCAGCTTCACGCAGATAATGAAGGGAGGAATTGCATCTCTGAAGTGACAAACTGGAACTCTTGGTTTTGGTCTCTCCTGCAGGAAGAAGCAGTAGGGTTCAGCAGAGGCACACAGGGCTACTTGAGCTTACTTTTAGAAGCTACTGAACACTAACAGGGAAACATTGAGACTATAACTAAATAGCTGATCGCTAACTCATTTGTTTCCCAGTTGGCTTGAGCACCCTCCTGTTCTTACCACAGTCTTTCAGTACAATTCTTTGCCCAGCGCTGCAAATGACACCAGATCTGAATTAAGAGCCTTGTGCTGTTGGAAGGAGAAGGTCTCGCTCCTTCACCACTTTTTCCTTTACTTCCAAGCTCTACTTTTAGCCCTTTCCCAAACAATTCCCTCTCAGATCTGATGGCCAGGTATGCTGCTCTAATAGCCTACCCCATAAAATAATATGGGGTTTTTTGGTAGGTTAACTTTCTGCCACTTCAGTGAGCTGCATTGCTTACTGTGCCATCAGACACATCAAAGCAAAGTGGGTACAAAGGAGAATCCTTCCCTCTCAGTGGGAGCTGTTGAATGGCTTGTGCCCAACTGGGACTTCACCATGGAGCCAAGCTGCAGAATTTGCTAAGGAATCACAACAGTTTGCAGTACAATCTTCATGACTGCTCTGGGAGCATGGCTATGTCTTAGGAAGCCAAATGCACAGAAGCTGTAACAATTATGCTGACAGTATCACTACACTGCTAGGTAGCGAGTCCTCAGGATTCCAGGTCAAAATCCCAAACTCCAATTTCTTTCATGCAGCTGAAAGCACTCATCAGCTTCCCAGTATTGTCCTTGATGTTACAGTTACTGTGGTATAACCACAAGCTGTGTATCTGAGGACCTGCCCCTCCTCACCTCAGTCCTACTCCCATCAGATACAAGGATCATGCAACCTCAGGGTAATTGATTCACAAGATAACCCACTGGAGAGCCTTTTATTTGGAAAGTTCCTTTTCTGCCAGATCAGCTCACTGAATCCAGTCACCCCTGAGCCACCAGCCTGCATGGCCCACAATAACACCACAGCAGGAGTGTGTGGCTGAGGGCAGTGCAGCGTCAGGCCAACCCAGGCTGCAACAAGACATTTTTTCCCCCATCTCATTTGTTTACTGCCATCTAAATACTATACTTCCTTGTCTAGGGAATAAAATGCTGCTGCTTACAATTCTAAGCTGCTAAGGAACCTGCCAAAGTTCTGTTCAGATCCAGTATACCCTATAGTACACAGATAGGTTACAGCTAATCACAGAAGCTTGCTTTATTTTAATAGGTATTTGAATTTATCCATCATGAGCCAAATTCTACTCCCACTTGAAAGAAACCTGCCAGTGAGGGCTGTGTGTTACCCTGTTACATCAGAATCCTTCCAAAGTATATCTCGGTTTGTCTCTCTGAACTGACTTCAGTGAGCTCCATAGCTCTGGCTCCATTGTTTGCACTCCAGTATCAATCCCCAGCAATCCAGTTTGCTGGCACAGCTTCCTTATCAGAACGAGTAGCCATACAAGATTTAAAATCCCCTTTCAGATCACAGTAAAGAACTAACCTCAGATTCCTCGTAAGTGTAGAATCCTTTTGTTATTTTCTTTTCATCCACATCACAAAACGCAGTTACCTGCAAACAGAAATGGAGCATTTCAGTACCATCCCTTGCTACCACGGGTATTTCACCTGCAGTGTATCTGCGTCAGTAACGCTACAGGCACGTGAATGAATGCAGAAACAGGGCAACATGCCTCAGTCCTCCTATGGAGCTTAAACAGTTACTAGATCCTTTCCAGGCATATCTTAAGGAGATGGATGCGTTTTGCAGTTGCCCATGAGCACGATGTTTTTACAGACATGAGAACAGGGGATCTAAGCTACTTACTGCACGAGACAAAACATCTGTGGATCTTCAACTTCATCCTCAGCAATATGCCAACTAAAGTACAACCAGAAAGTAGCCTTCTCATTTTGGCACTTAATTCCACTAACACCTAAGATTAGATAATACCAACCCTCCTCCTTCCACCCACTGCAAGCTATCTACCACCAGATAGCTCAGTATTGCAGTCCTAACACTACTGCTTTGGATGCTCTGGTAATGCCAGCCCCAATTCTAGGTCATAACACACCATGTGTGGGAATTCCTGTGGGTTTGGACTGAAAAGTTCAGCAGATCTGGTATTTAAACACGTATCGTTACTGCTTCATTTTGGTTCTCCTTACTGTAGTTATGGAAGCATTATCTGCAGCCCCAATTGCCAAATATTTTACATGGTTTTCTATTTGCATTCCTCATAAATATACAGGCAGAATAAATGCAATCCAAACTACACAGTGGCCTCATTTTTGAACCAATAGGTTGTCAGTAACATAGCTGTTTCCCTCTGCCTTCCATTTGAGCTACTCGTATTACCAACACCAAACTCTTACATTGAAGCAGAACAGTTAATTCAGTTAAGAACTTGCAGAAATCAATTCTTCTGGTGAAAGCTGGATAGCAGTTTTCCTATCTTTTTAATTGCTGCATTAAAAATTGATTCACAACACTTACTGCTGAGAGAATGTGAAAAGCCCAACAGCTGTTTATTAATTTACTAAGTTAGAGAAGGCTGCAAAAGGCTGGCTCTCTTCCTGTGCCTGCAGACCTCTCTCACACTTTCTTCCTGTGATTAAGATAGTTTTCTTTTACCTAAAGTGACCTCATTGGCTTTGCGAAGAGGAAAACTCTTGACACAAGTCATCAGGCTGCACTTGTGCATCATGCCACCTTGACAGCCCCAGGGCAAGACTGCAGAGGACCAGAACCGTGTTACAGGTGTTTCCAGGCAATGGCCAGACAGAGCTGTATGCTCCTGCAATATAAAAGGTGTTTCTACATTAAAAGTACTTTGGAAATACCTTCCCATCCAACAGAACAGTTTGCTATCCAAATCCTTAAGGCAGCAACCATTAGCAACTCCCTCAAAGACAAAAGATCTTTAAGCTTTCATTTTCTCTTGAACACAAGTTAATACACTTTACATCTCTGACCCTATTTCTATGACCACTGTAATGCGTTACTGTAGCTAAAAAGAAATTAGATGGTGTGGCCTGAGCATTATAAACTACATCACAAGATTTCCTGTACCCATCTTACTTATATGTCTATATACACACATGTATATATGTATGTGTGTATATTCTTTTCATATATATATATATATATATATATGAAGAGAGGCAGGTGGAAGCTACTGGGGAGAAGTTCCTGTTTTACTTTTCATTCTGTGTTAACCACCTTTAAATTCTCCAATATCCTGCAAATCTGGCAGCGTTCAAGGCCAGGTTGGACAAGACTTGGAGCAAGCTGCTCTAATGGAAGGTGTCCCTGCCTGTGGCAGGGGTTGGAGCTGGATGAGCTTTAAGGTCCATTCCAAGCCAAACCAGGCTGGGATTCTATGAAATCCACTATTAACGTTTCACTGTCCTAGAAGCTGTGCTCACCACAAACAAAATTCAGCAGGACAGGTCTTCACTGCCCACCCAGCAGAGTTCTGGGAATAAACACAGTCCAATACACTGACTTACCTTCCAGTAACTGAAGCTGGTTTTTCAGCTGCTTATCCTCCTGTACATTTTAAAGACCAAACCAAAATGCCAAAACTTTTGACATAAGGCAAAGTGAAATTCTGTCTACACCTTAATGTCAGTAACTGAGAATGCAGCTGCAAGATCTGTGCTGGAAAGTGTCACATCATTCACCTTCCGCACACTGCGGTACAGTTAACAGAAACCTGACTGGTGCGTGGATTTCTTCTTAAAATGAATGAGGCCAGAGAAGCAAAGACGGTTCTTGTATCACTAGATTACTAATATTCACGATACTTCCTCTCATCCTCTGCCATAACTCATACTACCATGAGTAGGAAATGCTGCAGCCAACTGCCCAGCCCCAGAGGATGCAGCACATGGAACCCTTGCTAACTCCACAGGTCAGCCTGTGACAGATTCGCTTTGGAACATGGAAATGACTCAAACCTTTCCTTGAGTTACCAATAAGGCATCTCCATGTATAATTCCCAAGGGATTCAGCCAGCTTAAATCTGATATTTACAGTATTCTAAACCAGGTCAGGCTTGAATGGGCAATTTTTCTGCCAGACTGTGCACCATGTGGGTGGCCAAAATGTAAGTCAGTGTTTTTCTGACACACACCATTTATTTTCCAATTAAAGAAAATCTGTCTGGAGCCTAAATACAGGACTTGTGCACAGTTGTTTATCTGGACAGTGAACTTACGGCACGAGGTTTATTTGAGCTATTTACTTTATAGGATAAACCCAGAGTTACCTATTTATTTTCCTGCATTAATGAGCTTCTTTCTTGTATCTTTATGAAGACCATCCATCCATACATGAACTGCTGTCTCGCAGGGAGGAAGCTATGAATTATAAAGCAGTCTCAAGTTGATGGGTTTTTTTCTCTCCTTCTAGCTCTTTGGCAATGCCTCTGATAACGTGACTCCATTGAAGCTTACAGAGTCCTCAGATCACACTTCAGTTTTAAGAAAATACATCAATGATTACATACTTTGGCTTTGAACATCACTTGTGTATTTCCAAAACAAAGAAAAAAGACTGCTATTTCCCTCAGCTACAAATACCTGTTATGTACAAGCTCTACAATTACCAAAAGTAATTTTTACAACTGTGGATTGCAACATACATTAACAAATACAGTGGAAGGGGAAAAAGGAGTAAAGAGTTCTCTCTCTCGTAAGGCACGGTTTACACAGCTCAAAAGATAAGATATTTACTCAGCAAAAAAATCTCTGCTAGGGGAAGACACATTTGAGGAATCTAAAGGCACTTCTCTGGCTGGTTCCTTTTAATAAACACAGCCCTGAGTGAAGGGACACACAGGCTGGGACTATCAGACCTCCCTGTGGTAAAAGGATATTAATGGGCAGCAGATCAATCCTACTCCAAACGTAGGACCCGAGAAGTCAGTGAGAGTGGGCCTGGGCTGGAGCTGTAATTACCTACCTGTGTGAGCTGTGTGACCATTACATCCCAATTCAGCTTGTTTCCTACTTCTCTTGTTTACTGCCTTGTTGGCTACTGCAGAGGATGCTTCCTTGCACTTCCCAGTCCACTCACATGTCCTAATGGAAAACCTGACAGATTTTATCAGCCCAGTAATGTCCATTTATGGTAAATGATCTTCAGAGGATTTTATTCCCTCATTTTATTTCCACCTGGGGGCTGCCTTAGGTCTGCAGTGATCATTTACCACAAGCAACAAGACACAGTGTCCTGGGTTCAGCAGTAGCAGTCATTTTTCTCCTCCTTGGTAGCTGGTGTAGTACAGTGTTTTGACTTTCAGCTCGGGAACAGAGCTGATAGCAGCAATGTTTAGGTTTGGCCAAGGACTTTGTGAGCCTCATGCTCTGCCAGGGAGGAGGGGAAGCCAGGAGGAAGTAGAGACAGGACACCTGACCCAAACTGACCAAAGAGGTATTCCATACCACAGCAAGTCATGCCCAGGATGTAACTGGGAGTGAGCCGGAAGGGCTGGGAGACTGCAGGGTTGGAGGAGGTATCGGTCGGAGCTTGGTCGGGCTGGGGGGGGCGAGTTATCGGTCGGCTGGTGGTGAGATGTTGTATTCTCTTCCCTTGTTATTTCCTTTATCATTATTATCCTTGGTGGTAGCAGTAGTGATTTGTGTTATACCTTAGTTACTAAACTGTTCTTATCTCAACCTGTGGGAGTTGCATTCTTTTCGATTTTCCTCTCCGTCCCTCCGCGAGCAGGGGGAGGGCAAGAAAAGGGGGGGAAGTGAGTGAACGAATTACCTGACTGGGTTTAAACCACGACACACAGTCACAGCAAATGCTCAAGATCTGCTCTGGCTGGAAGGAGACGAGGCAAGTTTTACAAGGGAGAGTGAATGACTTAGTAGAGCATGACAGGAAAAATGGACAAACCTCTTGATAAGCAGTCACTTGCACTGTCCCCTCTCCCTCCTCATTGCATTGACTGGTCGCATAAAATTATCTTTAATGATAACAACCTGCAAACTCTACAAATTCCTGTAGGAGCAGATCTTCCCTGTTGCAATCCCTCCACAGCTCATGCAATCCTTCATCCCTTTTCAACTCCTGGTGACCCTGGTGATTCTTCTATTTATACTTCTTTCATTCAAACTCACATAAAGCCTCGGGAGCATGTTGATATACATCTCTGCAAAGTTACATCAATTTTGGCCATTCATGTCAAAACAAAGTAACTGAAAGCATTCTGTTGCAAATTTAAATAGACACAGTTAATGACAAACAGAACAAGAGACAGGCAGAAGCATAAACATCTTCCAGTACGCCACAACTGAAACCATGATAGGAGGAAGCAAACCTCCATCACAGTCAGAGGGATTTTCAGTATCAGGGTGCTGCTTTTATCTCCCCACCCCATAGCATTACAGCCACAACAGAAGCTGTAGTTATCTAAACTTCAAGCACACACTCCATTACTGTTTAAAGACACTATTCCATGACAGCAGCATCGTCCCTCTTTGCACATACATCTGCAACATTGCTCAAGAGAACTTTAATACCAGAATCCAACACGCAAAATAAGCTGCTAAATACTGTATGTACAAACTACGCCCTTATTACATAGAGCAAACAACTACCCATGTTCTCATTCCTCTACAACAGGTAACTGCATTGGTTATTCCAACAGCATAACCAATAACCGTAACAGCAGCAACAAAACACACATTGCAAAAGCACATCTTCCTGAGTGGAAGCATTCACTATACTCCAAAACAAAGCCTCTATTTTACCCCATGTTGTTTTAGGATGCTTTACATCTGGATTTAACTGGAGCTTTCACATTCTCTGATTTCTCTTTTAACTCACTTTCCCTTCATCATTCTTTCATCCACAGTTAAGGTGGATGTAATAATTTTCCCTTTATTTATGTTTCTTTGCTTTGATACGTCCCACTTCACTCCCTCACACTGCCTGTCATATACTTTAGAGCAGTTAAAATGCTACCAGACTTAAACAGTTCTTGCTTTTGTGAGTGAGCTGAAGTATCCCAGTTGAACTACACGGTTCAGAGATGTTGCTCTTTGAGAAAGGCGAAGAGGAGCTAAAAGATGATTTTAAATGGCTCATGAGCTAGGAGAAAGGGTGCACAAAATACTGCCTCGAAGCTTTCAAGCTGCCACTGGTGGGTAGGGTTGTCATAGAGAAACTGCACGGCCTGGCTCTGTACTAGGACTGTTTCCATGCCACTAATTAGCCGATGCTTATTTCATCCCTTCCCCTCCTTTTTCTGTTCACTACTTAAATGCTATTTTTAGCTATCGGAAATGACACAAAATGTTAATGCTGAAGCTCTCCTTTTAGCTGAAGTTTGGTGGAGAAAAAAGAGCAGACAAGACAGCTCAGAAACCCTCCAGGCATATGCAGCATCCCAAAAACATTTGGTTTCCATCTTCAGCTGCAAATTATAGACAAGACGGATGTGTTTTAAACAAAACAAGGTCTGTTCAACTTCAGTCTTGCAGAAATGCTAATACTGAACCACTGTCAACTGCGTGAATCAAGAAGGGGACAGCCAGGAAACAGAATTTCCCTAAGAATACTGAGGTCCTGGTAATGAATTCATAAAAAAACCCTATTAGTTGAGTAACTTTTTACTTTGTTGCTCTTTAGCAAAAATACTGAGCCTTGGACTTTTGCCTGAACTCTTTGGAGACAAAGAATTAATATTCACCATACAGATGTCTGCAGGAAAGGAGAGGATATTGCTTAGGTGTCCCTTTTCTCTTTTAATAGGGCCATAATTCAGATTCAGACTGTTTTCCAAACAAACTGAAGTAGTAATTTGTTACTAACTATGAACATCCACAGACTGCTGCTTCCTGGAATGGCCAAAATCGGTTCTTTCTAAGAAACAATGCTGTTCAGCATGCAGTATATTTATACTTTCCAAACGTCCCACAAAACCCTCGTCAGTGTAAGAAACACAACTGCCTCGTTTAGCAGGTTCTAAAAATACCAGAAAGATCCTTTTTGCAAAAGATGTTTTCTTGCATGCCCTAAGCTTGACAGATCAAACGAATGAATTCTCTTCCTGAAGATTTAATAGACTTTCAGGGTTTCAGTTGTGTTTCTTTTCACAATTACAAACAACACAAGCTGTATAATATATAATAATATAACGTGGGTGGGTTATTGCTTATTCTAGGAGTGTGTGTCTCAGATTTTCTACAGGTACTTAGTCCCAACTGTGCTGTGACTCCGCATCCCAACCAGAATCAGTCTCACGACATCTAATGAAATTCCCAATCTCAATAAAAGGATGCAGGAATAGTGAAGCAGAGCACAGGTGAAATTCTCAAGAGTCAAACCTGACAAAAGGATAAACCCAACTGAAATTAAATTCAGACAGTTAAATTATACAGCTCAGTTAAATTATGCAGCGTATTCTGGCAGTTTTACCTGCATTTCAAAGGGTTTTAGACCTTTTAAGATCACACTGGTTTACACAACTGGACCTTCAGAGGAGAAAAAGGTAATTGTATTGATGCAATACATCATATTTTGTCTTAAGGGCTTTTGGAATTGTAATTTAAAGGTGTCTGTTCCACATAATTGATGAATTCATATCCCAGGGCCTCCATTTACAAGACAACACTAGATTCTACTTGTAGATTCAAAACGATACTGAATCTCCAGTGTTCTCATAATTAACAGAATATATGAAAGCTTAGATCTTGTTAAGGTAGTCTTAAAAGGGTGAGACAGGAAATGTGTTTTATTGTTTTTAGGGCTGGAAAGGACAAAGCAACAACTATTTACAGCCTTTGTTCATGTGGGATTTTAGTGTCTTTTGGCAAGAGCTGAAGATTAGTCACAAAATACCTGAAGGATTTTTGAGAGGTAGAACATGGAGTTTAACTACCTGCCTTTTACTGCTATGCATTTAGAAGAAAATGAAAACTCTCATGAATTACCTATTTTATGAATTTATTTCCTGAAACTCCAGCAGAGTAATCCCTTGATTAGCACGTGGAGAAGTGACATGTTTTAACTACTTCTACAGCCTTTTGCCAATGACTTACTATGAAACATTAGGATATCGTTTAAGCTTCAGTTTTAACTGAGATGGATAGACTTAAGGGTCACTTTTGGAAAAGCTAGGAAGCTCCAATGGCAATCATAAAGAACCTGAACAACCACTTAAAACCAGTACTTTAATCAATACAGACAGCACCAATTTCATCACAAGTTAGCTATCTAAAAGTTAGGCCTCTATCCCACTTAGAATGATCCAAGTAACTTTCTGAAGCTATTCATTACTTACTGAGAAAACCTCTGAATACTTCAGAAAACATGTCAGACAGTGGATAAACTTCGATCACTCTGTAAGGTATTGAGCATCAGGCTGTGACTGCATTTCAGCAGCAGTTTTCTGCAGTACATTTGCAAAATGAGTCATACTTGGCATGTGCAGTCGTGTCTGGCACATAAGCTTGCTCAATGTATCTACTATAGTATCCAGTCATGAATGGGTTAGTGCTCAATGCAGTATTTCAGTATCAAACTAAAGCATACTGGAATATGTGCAGTTGTAACCTTGACAGAAGCAAAACAGTATCATGGCCTGCAACACTGCCAAAGCAAACGTTATGGAAAGGTCAGCTGGAAAGCATGTCAAGATCCAGTTAATTAGAACCACACTGTCAGTGCTAGCACACCGGGAATGACGGCTTCTTCTTGCTGAAGGAGAGGTAAGATATGGTTCTTTGGCAGAAAAATGGCAAAACCACATCAGTATTATTTTTCTCTTGCCCATTTTATCATCTCTGCAGTGACATCTTCATATTATCATTGTGCTCGCTGAACAGGATGTAAAGTCCTGAATGAGTCACCTATAAAAGTAGGTGGCAAATGTTACCCAAAGCTAGAGAGGCGTTGTATCATAATATCAATCTCCATTTTGGCTTGGCACAAATAAAACCTACAAAACAAAACAAACCCCCCAAAACCCCAACCCCTCAGACGGTGAGACACTGCTACAAAAACAGTACAATCTATTTTTTCAAGCTGTCATCTTTTCCCCTGGAACCGAATTTTCCAATCCTTGTCATTCTGCACAGAGAAAAACGCAATGGTTGGTAGCAAGTCAGTGGAATTCCCAAAGTGCTCTGCAAAATACTAGTGAAAGGGAACATTTCCACAACCCCAAAGTCCGGGCACCCTGCACTGCATGACCAAGGTAACTCACTACATTTAATGGACTGTTCTGTCCTCTTTGAATGACGTAACTGATGGCAGACACCCAGCACTGAACCTTCTTTCTTCATGCCACGTGATGGCAATGAAAGAGGGGTGGCACTGGAGTATCAAGCAGGAAATTCAGGTTCAATTCTGGTGAATTGTCTATTTACTGTATGAGTGTCCTCAGGTCCATTCATTTCAACTATGGGTTTACAAAACTACTTTATTCTGTTTCATATGTGTGTGGTCTGAGGGCCACAACATTAATCAGGTTTATATATATATTTGTCATTTTGTCTTCCCATCCATATTTTTGAGAAACAAAAACACATTCAGTAATAAAATGAACGTTATGGGGCTCTTTATAAGAAACAGCCATTTGACATTAGCCCTAAAGCATTTATCTAACAAAAAGTTATTACAGAAAAAAAAGTGCTATAAAAGGCGTTTAAACTCTCAGACAAACCTCTCCTGAGAAATATCTGCTGTTGCCAAATACAAGTAACCTCCACATCTTCAACTGATTGCAAACAGAGTTAGACAGTCACGTACAAGAGTTTCTACTTGCCCGTTTGCCCCACCCCTATTTTTAAAGAATAAAGCTTTTCAAAAGGGAGTTACAGTAGAACTACTCCTCGTAATTCAAACCAGGATGATGAGCATCCAATAGGGATCTGTCCAGTATCCACTTTAGGAGCTAGGCAACTGTTATACAGGTATGAATAACCCTGGATAAGGTAGTCTGCTATTTTACCATCCAAATAGAGTTATTCTACTCACCTTGCGAACCTGGCTACTACACGGTTAGTTACACAGCAGCAGGCCATAAACAGTTAGACACTGTGTCTAATCTATTACTGTGCTCAGTCACCAGCAAGCAGGAACATGGGTACATGTGTTGTTCTACATACACACCATACTCTAAATAAAGTAATACAGCATTTAAATATACATTATGGAGAATAATCAGAATGATATTAATCCTCAGCTAGCAGTCTGGGGACAAAATATCCTATGAGAAGTTCCCTACAACATGTTAGCAGCAAGGAGGCATGTGAAAGAGGAGGAAGTGAATTGTACAGATTTACCCACTCTTCCTAGCTTACCTTTTTCTGATTAGCTGGGGACAAGCTTCGGTAGAGCTTCTTGCCTTGCTTGCCAGCATTCCAAATGGTGAATGATGTCCAGGAGCTGAGGACTCTGTCTTCAAGAAACCCGACTCGGTGATTCCAAATGGTTCCCCTGGAGGGTTAGAAAAGGAGTAGATTTTGATCCCCAAAACTTTCAGCATTATTATATACCTATATCCATATGAACACATAGACAATGAACGCGTTTAAGATTCATTCACTAGGAACTTCTCATCCTTTAACAGTTTTCTAGATACAATAAATTGATTTCCTCAATTTATGGCTTGACTGGGTGAATATTCCTTATCTACATCTCTTGAACAAGGTACCCTGACTTGAAAATGTCTTCCATAGGTAATTCTGATAAACACCTAATTGCCTTTCCTTTTTGAAAGCGTTTCTTCAAAGAGTTTTTCCCATTTGCTTTATCATGACAGAACACAACACACTTTGTCAGAATTGTTACAACTTGTTCTACAATTTGTAATACATCCCCTGATCCAAGAAATGAGATGTTGGAATTAGTTAAAGCAGCACCAGTAAAAAAAAACAATCCCTAGTAGTTTTCTGTGAGATCCTAAAGCTGCCAATGGTTTTCCTTGTCTTGGGAAGCATGTAGTTTTCCTACTAATACCCCTTCTTCACAGTTCAACCTTGAGCCCCAGTCTTCTGACTATATCAAGTTAGTATGGCATTTAAACACCAAAATACTCAAAGACTGTGTTGTTTTTTTCTGTTTCAAGTAAGACTTCTGATTCATGAGTCAGCACAGGTTATCACACAGCAGCTACTGTGAACTACTTCAGGTCTTTAAGTGCAGCAGATTTTATAGGAAAATCAAAATCTATTCAACTGTTCTTGATATTGAGGATCTAAACTGTCCAGGTGGGTAGACAGACAGGAACAACTACAGGGATGCTGCTGTCAGTCACCCTCATCCATGGATCAGCCTGCTCCTCCCAGTTGCAAGTCAGATTATCCACAATCCTGTAAGCATTACACCAAGTTTGGTTCTATTTCGTAAGTAAAATACATGAGCATGATGGCTAGAGACGTCTGATGGCCTAGCACTGCAGTAACATCTCACTTCTATGAAACAGATCATCAAATTTCACAAAGTCCTGGACCAGATTTATTATTCCAAATTATTCCTTTGAAATATACCTCTGAGGTACAAATATAACATTTGAGGTTACTGAGATTAACAGGTAACCTAATTTGTTCCCAAAAGTTTGTTACAAACCTTTCTAATATTTCAGTGATAAGAATTTTGTGTTTTTATTTGCATCATTGCTTCACAGCCCTGAGCTCTGATTTGAGAAACATGCACCCCTCATCGTACTACACATACGGATTCCTGCTGGGATTATTAGTGAGCTCCAGAGAGCCCACTTCAGCATGCAAGTTCTGAGCACAGCCAAATCCTGCTTAGCACTTCATCACTGATCATGGTGTGATAACTTGGAAAGAACTTCACACGCAAACGGATGTACCCAGGAAAACAGCTACTCCATATAAAATTTCCACACCGTTTCGAGGACTGCGGCCATGCACCAGCACTTTGACTCGTGGAGGAAAAAAGATCTTGGATTGGATTGCAAATCCCTCCTAATGCAACCACAAGCTACATTCCTGCTGCAAAGCTTTAGCTGCTGCTGGCATCCTTTGACACTTGCCTTTTTCCATATACATTAGAGCATACTATATTCCCAGAAGGAAAGTTAAAAGAAAGACATATGAAGGACAAGTATTTTTCCAGGATCATTTTACTGGAGATTTCTGAGCTTCTGCTAGATTCTAAAAAGGAATATTACTGCTTTACACGTAAATGGAAAGCTTTTAAAAGTGATTTTACTTTGAAATGTAACTTCAGAAGGGTAACATTCCAGAGGTACTTCAGAATCTGCTCTGTTGAGTGACACCAGCAAGTTTCTTTTCCACTTGAGTTTGCGAAGTAAAGAAAGCTGAAGAAATAATAGGCAACCGTACAAGGCATAAAAGGAATTATCAACTATTAGTTGTAGGGTAAACACTGGAATCTCTACATCCAGGCACACACAAAATGTTCCTAATTGTCATGCAGATGTCCCAGTACATGCAGTATTGATGGCTTCCAGACAATATACATTTGCTGCCTAGGTGATGGGTGACTATGTTCCACACAAGTCCCCACAGAGGTAAAATTCAAGCAGACCAATTCTCATTGCTGGAAATCATCCACAAAGATTTCAGACTGAAACAAATTTACTGACCCAATCTTATCTATAAATATTATATTGAGAAACGTGAGTGGGGAAAGTACCCAAGGGAATTTCACTCAGAAATAAAAGGATATGAAAGTTATTACACCCCAAATTAACTGGATCACTGTTCAAATACAGACAGCTTTATCTAAGCACCAATAAATTGCTTTCTTAAATACCTGTTTTGGGTTGTGAAAAATGAAGCCAATATATACACAGCACTTGTGATTTTTTTTCTTGCATCACTCTTTGTAGTCTTGAGTTAACCTTGAAATACTTTTAACAGTACAAGCCAAGATCATCAGCTCATCATAGAACTAAGGGGATAATTTGGGACTGAGCTTTAGGGTGACAATCACAGACTTAATCTTTGTGAAATCTTGCTCTGCACTAACAACACATCTCGTGTTGAAACAAAAGGTGTCAGAAGAGGGAGTTTCAGTTGCCCCCTTCAGGTTTCCAGTTCACCTAATTTGCCATATGTTTTGATGTATCCTGAATAGATAACTGGGATTCCTGCCTTGAGGGATAAGGGAATGCCATTTTCCCATCCTTGAAGAGCCAGTGCAGGTGCAACAGGCAGGAACTGTAGCAACGTGCAAAGGATGATTAAAGAAAATGCCTGAAACGATCTAGAAGTTGTACAAACCACTGCTCAGAGACGATTCTCACAGCTATTTTCAGATTTTGCATTATTGCATATTCATAGCCACCAGCAAAAAGCAGGAGGTATCATTGCTCTGCATCACCCCAACCAAAGCTGCTTTTCCTACCCATGTCAGGAAGGATTAAAGTAAGCACTTTCCCCATAGCCTTTAATTTCATTGCCTATATTCAGTTATAACAAGATTTTCCTCAGCCTCAAGGTGGGATACAAATTCTTCTGACTGTAGAGTTTGCTCCTACATCCTAATGCTCCTCCTGCACCCAGCATCTTAAAGTACATTATTTTCCCCATTTCTTTCATTTCCTTGTCACTTTTTTACTTTACTCAGAAGCATCAATTTTTCTACTTGGAAAACCATTCTTATGGCTTATAGAATTTTCCTAAGATCTCACTTGCTGTGGCCCCTCAATACTCATCAGTTAGGTAGTCTGGAAGGAAGAAGAGGAGCCAAAATTCTGCAGGAGTGAAACGAGGGTATTCATGCAGTGGGTGAGAATGATTATGAAGTGTGTTGTTCCTCAGTCCCAAGTAGTTATTACCATACCATCCACCCAAGTAACAATGGAGCTCTGTTAAAATGTGTGGTGACCTACTGACTGAATACAGGAGTCCAGAAACATCTGCTCCACTCCTATTTTGAAATGAAAGATAACGTGACAATAAAAGCTATATGATTTAATGTCTGAGCTCAGTGAAACCTCGCCATATTGCTTGACTGCCTTTCCCCTCCTTCCCCCAGTGAGGCTACATAAGTGAATCAACAGAGCAAAGACAGATGTACAAGTACTTGAGAAATGCACAAATACAAGCCAAATATCCTAAACTGCGCTGGAATTTCAGGCATTGATTACCATTCACAGTAATACCATAAATCTGTAAATCTGACCTTTTCTATATGCCTTGGTCCCACATGCCACTCAGGTAACACCAGACAGGAAGAGGAGCTATTCAAATGAATGGCCTCTTCCACTGGCTTTTTATTCACAGCAGGGTAACAGAGTTCTCTGTTCGTGGTGAATCTCACCTGATAGATAAACCAGAGGTGAAAGAACAGAGAACTTAATCACAGCGAGAGCTGAAAGAACAGATTATAGCCATCTTTGCACGCAGAATTCAAGGTTCTTGCAATCCACAGGAAATTCGGGAATGAATCCCATTTGAACCTTGTCCATACTGGTAAATAAACTGGATTTTTTTGGTTGCTGTTGTTCTGTTGAACTTCATGTGAACTTATTAATTGCTGGACTGTATCGTCCCACTGAGTTATTACATTTACACTGTGTTAATAGGTTCTATTAATGTCTGAGTTCATCTTCAGGTCATGGGTCATTAACTGAGGCATGGTTTGCATTGTGGCCTATTTTTCATGAAAGGCTTATTAAGAAAGACGGAGACTATCAATGTTAATGCCATTTACTTTTCAAGAATCTAATGAAGTCATTAGTTTCCATGTTTAATTGGAGTGCCAAACGCAAGCATAGATGATAAAAATGCAGTTGACCTCATCTTCGTTTCAGTTGGGCAAGACTATGTTACACTATTCCTCTCTCTTGCCTGTTTTAGGATGTTTTTGCAGGAAATGAAGCAGGCATTCCTGTGCTCATCAGTGATATGAGACCCATGCCTCAGAGTACCTCTGAAACAACCAAATCTGTGCTTCAGATCAAGTGCCTGTTCTCCTTCACTTAGATGACACTGGAAGCTTCTAGTGCCTGAAACCAGATGGTTTCAATAGATGATGTAATTTGGGTTATTTCTGCAGAACAAGCTCTTACAATATTACACTTGCTCTGAATACACAGCATATGAAATTACTGTGAATTTTGTAAGTACGCTTCACATTTGCTGCATAAAAGGGAGCTGCCTGAATCTCAGACAGAAGGTACAAACCTTATTGTCTGCATGTACTCAATTTCTCTTGACCAAAAGCTTGTAAACTGCGGCAAAGATCAGCTATCTGCCCCAACTGCCTGCCTTCATGAGCAATACTACCGAAAGACAAGCAGTGTTTTATTGCTCATGCTGTTCCAAGCTGACTTTCATCTTGCAATGAGGTACATTATTTTATATACAGTTCCTTTTTCTCCCCTTGATAAGATAAAAATCTATGAATTTTACAATGTTTCTATTATACATCAAACTTCCTTTCTATGATAATTCACACTATAAAGCCAGCTCTGATATTGTATCAAATCAGTGTAATGTAGCTGTGCAGCACAAAGTACACACAGCCCTAGGATACAAGCTGTAACGTGAGATAAAATGATTTAGATCTAAGAGATACAATATGTGGGGATTGTGTGTTGCAAATTCCTGGCTGAAGAGAAGTTTCTCAAAACTTATATTGCTCATTCCCACTGAGCAGGTACCCATGATAGGGTTTAGATGAAATTACAATGAGAACGGTTATATTTCTGTATGCACCTAATGAAATCTAAATATAGACACTGCACTTCATCCAGATTCTGTCACACACCCAAAACATTTAATAACGTGGTCTGATGCCTCCAGGGGTAAGGGAGAATGCAAATAAGATCTCGTTTCCTGCTTCACAGATACTTTCACCTCTAGGTATTTGTTCCAGAAGGATACTAATCATAGGAAATGACCTAAAAATCATTAGCGTTGACAATTATACATACTAAAGAACTAAACGCTGCTTGCCAAGCAGCTTTATATATATTTTAGGAAGTCTGAAAATGCAAAAATCAGGCATTTTTTCCCCATGAACAGTAACGGAAGGCACTCAAAATCAGCCCTTAACTGGCTACGAGTGACTGTTGTCTCTGCAGAAAGGATTGAATCACGTACCTTTTCTATAAAAAAGTCTTACTGACAACTCCATTTTTCTAAGATTGAAACTAGGCATAAACTGATACTAAAAATAAATAAATCGTCGAGTTTCCTATAAGCATCATTTTGATTTCAGACAAGAGCTCAATCTAGTTGGCGAGTCAGTACTTCCAGATCCAGCTCTCCACCAACTCTGAAAATTCAAAGACAACATAGACCAATGGCAAAAGGAAAAATGCCACAGAAGAGTGCTCAAAACACATCATAAAAACAAAAAGACTTCTGGAAAAGGCAGAAGATGCATTAAATAAGGTGGGGTGACCAAAAGGCAAAGCAGGAAAGACCAGATACAAATTATAAACTTAAACCTTCCTGATGACCCCATTAATTTCTTTATTCTCAATGCTCCCCTCAGTCTTCAGAAAGAAAATGCTGGCCAACCCTGCTCGACTTAGGCAACAAACAGGGGAACAAGCCAACAAGGAGAGGTGTTACACAACCTTGTATTGAAAGTGTGCACAAAATGTTATTAGCAGTAGTACCAGCACGAAGCCAAGAGGAAGAATGGCTATCCTGACTTCTTAGAATGAGACAAGAAAGGCGCCAATTTGGACATCCAAGCTGCACATCTGAAACAGCTTACAGTATTTCCACATTCTCGCAGTATGTTGTAATTCAGGGTGCTTGTGCCACACAACCTTGTAGATCTGAATAAGCAACAGCTTGCAGTAAATTCAAAACAAACTCATTTCCAAGAATAAGATGTTTTCCCACAGATACATGCAACAGGCTTCCAAGAGTTCGAGCATCCCATGATGCGTGGCTGAAAAGTTTGGAACTAACTGCCAAAATGATCACACACCAAAAGGGAAAAAAAAAAGCCCCTTACATTTAAACACCAATAAAAGGCAAAATAATTCACCTCATATTTGTCTGTAAAATCCAAACATCTTCCATTTGCTTGGAATGCCTGTTTCAGACTTAAATGATTTTATATACATATGTGGTATTTATGATTACTATAGTATTTACAATAATACAATATCATGATATACAACTAAAATGCACACAAAAATGTTTAGTTTCACTAGTTGGTTCTACAGAGCCGTACAAATAGGACTGAAAAGTGTATTTATATCGTTAATCAGTAAGAATACTGTTCGCTTCATTACTACCAGGATTCTGGAATGGGACTCCTAAATAGCAGTGAAACTTGGTTTTCACCAGTGTCAATGCATAAGAGAAAGAAATAACTTTGGCTCAGCTTGCAGGACATCCGATCACAACAAACACCCTGATGGGTGAAATGAGCATGTACTGGAACAAGCAATCCCCAATTTAATGTGTTATGTAAGGGCAGGCCAGCACTGTAAAAGCAGTAGGCAACAGCTTATAAGGAAGCACCTGAGATAATTACTCCTAAACATCTTCAGGTGTATTTCAAACGTCCTTATCTGATTTAGATGGTTTAGACCTTTTAAAATAGGAAAATAATATATGTAAATGCAGCACATTATCAGATGAAAGGTTTAGGCATGTTTGGTTTTTTTTCAAAAGGAGGTTTCTGTTGGTAGTGCAAGTTTCTGTTTACTTCTTTCAAATTGAGACAGTTCACTTTGAAATTAGGCTATACAATTAAAATGATTTTTTTTTTTACATTATGGTTCACATGGCAAAAAAACAGGAGAATCCAATCCCTGCACATTAAAAATCCCAATAAAATTTCACCACGACGATAGATTTCAAAAACATTCTCGCAACTGTGTTCAAAGTATTGGAGAAGTTACTACTTCACTGCTTGCTTTTGCCATGTGCAGCAGATGAGACACATAATCAGACAAAAGTATTCTTAATCTGCTTTGAGGGTAAGAAACTCAGATGCTTTAGATAACCAGAAAGGGTACTCAGGCAGACTGCGGGATCTCACACGCTCAGCTACAGAGCCTCAGCTGAAGCAATGGAAGTACTGCTGTAATGCAGTCCCAAAAATGCTTCATGGCTCTTACGATACTTATTGTGAAATTATTTCAAGAACAGTTGCAAAGATGAGACAACAACTTAGCATTTGTCCAACGTTAACACGTCAAATGTTAACTCCATCCCTGCCTCACGACATCATTAAGCCAGGTACACTGACAGCGCGTGGCCAACAGCATCTGCACCAAAGATTTCAGTTCAGCATTTCAATTCCAGCATTACAGTGTGTTACTCAAAAAGCAAATTACAGCAACACCACCTTACACCAAGGAGGGTACTACCAAAATGTTAAGTCATGCTTATTTTTTAAAAATCGTTTTTAAAAAATAACAAGTAATTAAACTCAAACTGGTAATTATTTTGCCATGTGATGCCTTGAAGAGACTAAACATCTTTGCTGCCAATCATCCAAGATGAAGCTAAGCTTTACCAAGAAAATGCAACTTACTCTAGGACGGAGTGAGTGGCAGCCTGTGGATGGTAACGGTACAGCAGGAGGCAATGGTTTACTCGAAAGACTTCACCACCGTTTTGGATGTGTTTGTAGAAAAACAACAGATCTTCTGGAACACCCTGGAAGAGAAGCAGTTATTTCAGGCTAGGAAGTGACCAGTAGTCATACTTACATTTGAAGACACTTCTTATTTTTCTGCCACATGAATAAAGTTTAACATCATTTTATCCATATTACTTCTGCATGTGTCTATGAAGTTGTCTAATGGGTCATTAAATAAACATAGCTGTAGAAAAATAAAGCTACTGAAAAAGCAAGCAGTGCTATTTAAAAACTAAGTACAGCTGACCACAAGGACAGAAGTGGAAAAATAAACACCATCTCATTTTGACATGGGTATAAAGCTTGGTACAGGTTAGTCCCAAAAGAGAGAAACCAGCTGCTGAGCAGTTCATGAAGCCTCAAGTGCCACATAACCAAACAGCTCACTGAAAGGGATCAGTGACTCAGAAGAGCACTTTTTGATGTTACTAATGTTCTTTCTCTGATTGCCATACAAATACATATTCTGGACTCTACTTAGGAAAGGTGAATCAGACCCCATAATAAGGAACCTTAATGAAAACCTTAATTAAAGCATGATGCAATGTCTGAAAGCAAAACTTTTTTCTTGCCACTTATTTCCATGATACATTCTTCCTAATGGGATTGCAAGGATTGCTGCTGAGACACTGCAAAAAACAACCAGCCCCTAATTTCCTAGAACTGTGTGTGGCTCTGTCAGGCTCTAATAAGAGATTTCATGATGAGATGCAACATTTCCCACCTAAAAATCAGAGAATCTTCATGCCAGAGACAGTGTCAGATGGCAATCTTATAGCACATACTATTCCATTACTCATCATAAACATAAACCCACCTTTAAAGATATAGCCCTATAATGGAAGTAAAGTAGTACCATCTATTTTGCAATGGTGAAACTTCTTGAAATATGGCTAGAACTTTTAATTTTTCTGTTTCAACAGAGATTTTTCTTTCCTCCAACCTAACATGATTTTATCAGGCTAAAAATCTCTGCTAAGTAAACCCAGGTGGGCCAAATAAAATATTTAAGTGTAGCATCAATAACAAGATAACATGAGAAACTTGAGATGGAAAAGATATCCAAATACATTTCTTTCTGTAGGCAGTATTATATACATGAACAACAGAGGCATAAACATCAACTTTAGGTATTCTAGTTCAACACAGAAAAATAAGAGCACAATAAATAAATTAACAAAAAAATGGCATTTTTTTTTCCCCTTATTACCACAGCTTCTGAGTTTCTTCCACAAATAAGAAAAGGAGATTCTCCAATTAAAATGCTGGAGACAAAATCCCTCTGTGGTTCCCTCTGGCCTTCTCGTTACAAGAGCAATACAATTCAAGTCTGTTCCTCATACCCACACCAGACTGAGCAGCCAAGGGGGTCTGGGGAAGGGAAGAGTAACGAGACCAAGAAAGCTTCAAACCCTGGAAAACAAATCTGAAACACTCAATTGAACATATGTATTCTGGGAGAAATTAGAACCAAATCAGGCTCTGTACATTGCAGCTCCAGACTTCACTACATGATAGATTGATTTAAGATACTGAATTGGGCCATGTTCCCAGACTCTGAATACCACGGATCCTGATCTGGCTGCTTGCAAAGGCCAGGGTATCTCTAGCTATCAATTGTCTTTGTAGATATTGGTCTGACTTCCAGATTAAGAGCTGTAATGCAGAAGCAAACTTTTGGAGAACCTTATAAAACTTGTGCTTTATATGAACCCACTTGGAAAGCCACAGAAGAAATCTGGGGGAAGTTGGAGTGGCAGACAGCAACCACAGTCACTGAGAACTCAAAAACACCACAAACTCAAATTCTTTCCATTTATCTTGCAGCCCTTTCTTATGCTGGTCTTTTTCTTATTCTGGACTTTAATGGAAATACTGAGAGTCTGCAACAAAGTTTAAACCTTTTCTCTCTTTCGGTCACACGTCAGACTGTGAGAGGCAGGGCACAAATTCTGTAGCACGTATCTACTGCAGTAGTCGTATTTTGATTCAGATACATTATTATATCACATCCAGATGTGCAATTCATTCTCTTTTGGATAACCATTTACATTATTCAAGATAACCATTAGCAAGTATATTAATAAAGAGAGTTACAGCAGAAGAGATCTTTCAAAATGCTGTTTGTTTCTGAGTGCACTCTTGCTTTCCATCAGCCAGCAGAAGTCCTTTGAAATGAAGTCTGCTCACCCCCAGGAAGGAGCAGGTGCCTTGTACTGCTCAGCAGTGGCCTCTCGCATTACAAAGGAGCAGCCCTGCCATGCATTTTTCAGGGGAGGGAAGATGTTGACTGTGTTATAGATCCTGCAGGGATGGGACTTCCTACAGCTCTTGAGCGTGTAAGTTTTTTGCAACACAAGAGTTCCTTCCCAATTGAGATGTATTATTGGATCCAGATGGCATGTTAGACACCAGGAATCTTTGCCAAACAACACAATTTTCAAAGAAAAAGCTGTTTAGCCACTAAAGGGATATTTTAATGCATTTTGGGAAAATTATTATCCATAGCTGAAAATACCAATTTAACAAGACAGCATTTCAGCGATAGGCTACTACACGAACAGTTTCAATGTTAATAAATACGACTAAATTGCACAGCTTACATGTTACTGGACTATATACAGAATTTTCCATGTTACAAGCAAAAGCCAACCCTAGATGATCTGCAGCACTAAAGGAGAAACTCACTGGCCTGCTTCACTCAAGGGTGTGTGCTCATAAGCTGCTGATTGCAGCTCCTGGTGAAAATCACTGCTGGTTCTAACCAGCATGCACAAAATGAACATCCACTGCAACACTAAATAAGTGAAGGATTTATGATTACTCAGTATTTTGAGCAGGTATCACTTGCTGTACTGATGGTTAATCTACTGATTAATGTACATTAATTCTGCATACACACTGGCTGTCAAGCAGAATCTACCTTGAATCAGAGTAGTTCCTTGTTCATGGACCAAACTAAATACTGCATTATTCTTTTCTTGTCATCTTCTCACTGCTTGCTGTTTCTCACTCTTAGCAGATGGCTGTCCATGAAACACTACTCCAACTGCAGCATCCTCAACATATATATCTGACAAGGAGGTGCAAGCCACCTACCACTACAAGAAGAAATCCTGGCTACAGCTTTTGCAACTTCACCATCAGTAACAGTGAGGAACATCAATAGGGATAAAGATACTAAGCAATTTTTGGAGGACTTCTAATGACAGTGGTCTTCTGTGCAATGCTGTAACACCTGGTGAGAGATCATGTTGTAGCCGTGGGACAACCAACAGTAACTACTGCAGAAGTCTATTTTTTGGGTCACCTGGACAGAAGTTACTATTAGGCTGTACAGGCATAAGCACAATGCAAGAGCTGCCTTTTAATGCTAAACCTAATAAAGGAGATTAGTTCTGCCACAGAACAGAACCAGTCTGTTCCAACTTCCTCACCCATCACTCTCCTCTCCATTCAGGCTTCTCTCACTCATCTCTGACATGTGCTCTTCCCCTGCCCTCTTCCAGCTGACAGGTGCTGTAGTATGGCAGATTCTTGTGAGCAAAAAAATCAGTGGAGATTCAGCCAGTGGAGATTTCACTCTAACTGGAGAAAATGCAAAATCAAAAACTGAATCAAGAATACAAGCATTCATAACAAAAAGCGATGACAAACAAGACAATGGAATTATATCTAGCAACACATGAAAAAAATTCCCTTTGGTTTGGGAAAGCTGAGCCCTTTCTCTTGATCACAGGCATCAAGCAAAACTGGGCTATAACTTGGCACAGTTTGGAAACCAGACAGTGACACCAGGGTAAGTGTTGGGTAGAATAAGCCAAACTGCTTTAACTCCTCAGAGGAGCCTAAAATTGGTGAATGGAAAGAAAATCAGAAAGGAAGCAACTTTTGATTCCATACTAACCCATACCCTACAGGACTTTGAAACAGTTTGTTTCTATTTTTTGAACCAACTCGTTTCACACTGCACATCTTAGAACATCCATTTAAGAAAGATAAAAATGTCAGCATTAATATTATGCTAAAGTTGCATAAAAAGGGAGATCAGATGGTGTGTATTACAACATCTAAGATTAAACAGGAAAAAAGTTCTCAACTCAGGGTCATTTAGCAACAAAGCAGAGACGTTGAATAAAAATATCAAAGTACTTCTTTTTAAATACATATGCCAACAGCTGCCCAGCAGCATTTCCTCAGAGCCTTGAGCTAAATCCTACAGAAATATCACATACAGAGGGGTTGGTTGCGTGGAAGTGAACACAGACACTTCCTAAAAGGAAGTACTCCTGCCTCAGAACCAAATGCTGTTCTGCCAGACACTGAACTCTCACTCACCAACAAACGCGGTTCAAAGTGTGCTGCTCACGGGGAACAGCTACTAAGCTGCTGAACCTAAAACTAAGTAAGAAATTCCTCTCCAATTTAAATGTAAAGGTGAAAAAAAATAAAATAGGAACTAAAGTAATTTATCAAGAATCATCCACTCTTTGGTCTTCCCCTAAAGACAAGTTTTATATTAAATGTCAATCATATTTTCTTTGGTAATGAACAACAACACACTGAAGTTATCATGAATTGAAATACTCGCTAGTTTAACTTCCTTTAGGACAGTCACCAGAGGTATGCAAGCAGACTAATCACAAGCTAACTCCATAGATTTTTATAGCTTCTTTGCAGGATTATCCAACATATTTTAAAGACTCTTTGTACAGATGTCACTTCATTTTTTTTTTGGTTCCCATCCAAATTATGTCTTTACATCATTTTGCCTTGATTGCAAGACCTGAAGCCTGTAACATTTCCTTCACTGTTTGGGAAATGACAGGTTAGAGGAAATTCCAAAGACTGCTTTCATCCAAACGTATTGTCACAGAGAAACAACGATGACAGTGAAGTCAAATGGAAGGGAGGTGGTAAATTCTAAATGGTTTTTAATAACAGACTAGCAGAAAAATGTCATTAGACGAGAGAGATAGGGTGGATTTTCAAACAGCTTACAAAGTGTAATTAATCATTGCCTCTACCACTCTTTCTTTCCTTTTCACATCAAATACCGATCTCTGTTCAGCCTTAACTATACCAAAGCAAAAACATTAGTGCCTGTGTTTCATCCGGATTTTTCCCCAGAGCACCTTGATAGGTTATTTGACAGACTGACTGTAATTTTAATTCATGGTCTAAGAAAACAAATTCCTACTTAGCCTTTTACCTTTCAGGCAGTATTGTAACTGCTTGCCTTTCTGGAGGGAATGACATTTGTGTGCTCTGGCAGAGAAGAATGGAAAAATCCATTAGTTAGCACCTACTAGCCTACAATGTTATTTTAGAGCTTTGCAGCATGTGCTACCGTCTCCTGTGCATCAATGGATATTTTGACACCTCCTCAATTCGTGCTTTTTGTGACCTTTTATCACAAAAATAGATCAAAATTGAGCTCCAGACACCGGCTGGAGCCAAAGTTTGTATTCAGAAAGGTCAGTAGCTTATAATATGCTATTGTAAGAGCCTGGGCTCTTTATCTGAATCAGCTGCTACTTCTTTCAAGGAGGAAGCACTGCATTCTTCATCTGAATCAGTTGGACAACAGGAAGATTATTTCTCATCAGTTTCCTAAGAAATTAAGTCAGAAATATGGTTCTTATGACTCTCCTCCTAGCAGTGGATACTATTTAGAAGTTACTTTATAGGCTTGTGCCCATTTCTATTGTATTATCTTCATCTCAGTTAAGCACTTCTGCTTTAACTCTCATGTATCAGCGGTTGTATAAATAAAACCTCTACTATTTTAGTTAATCAGTACATAAAGCAAACCTGTCAGGTTCTTCTCCACCATTTATGAAGATACTATTTAGGATTTGGCTTGGACACTGCCACGGTGATTACACAAAAGGAATATGTTTCCAGCAACTGAAGATCTTGACCAGAAAGAACTTATATACAAAATGGTTTTGGAAATAATTTGTTAAAAATCTGTTTCATGTAAAGCCCGGATGGAGATGCATGCAAACATGCACATCTACCTGCAGGAAAAAAAGATTACATCATGGCTTATATATTTCTATTCTATCAGTCCATCCATACTACTAACATAAACATAAAATCACAGTTTCTTCCACGGAAGAATTATCCTCCATTTGTCCTAAGCACTGAAATATGAAGAACAGGTGTTTGGATTTAACTCCAAATGAGAAATGCAGCTTTCTGGCATGGAAACAGCTTAGCAAATGGAGAAGGCTGAAATGTGGAGATCTGTTGGCCTGTTTCTGTGTTTACTTGCAGCTATAAGACACTTAGAGGTCACACTGTTAAATCCTAACCAATAGTGGAGAGATAAGTGATCACATCAACACAGCCAGATCATGGGTCAGGTCAGAACATACACACATGGGTAAGATCCTCAGGAGTCTCAGTACTAGTTTATAACAGCTCTGTTGATACACAGAGAAAAATCTTTCTTTGCCTCAAAGGAATTCTTTTCAAATTAAAATGAACAAGTTAAAATAATGCTAAATAAGGTGCTAAATGCTGGAAGAGTTAGGACTTTAGGTCCCCTAAACGCACACAGGACAAAGGTTTGACTACATCGCTTACATTCATTGCTTTGTTAAGATCTGTCATTACCCCTGTCCACAGGGTACTTTCCGAAGGTCCTCTGTATTAGCCAGAGTTTGAGTATTGACATGCTGGACACTTCACAATAGGGACAAACAAAAAGTTTAACTCATCACTGGTAATTTTTAAAACTAGAAGCCATATCATGCATTGTGGCTGAAAAAAATCATTAGAATTAAGACTGTCAGTGAAGAACCAGTACCCACACAGCACAACACAAAAACCCCCACAAAAATCAGGAGACAAACCCCCAAACCTAAAAGCACAGAACAATAGCCTCTTTAAGTTAACCTCTTGAACTTTACCATTAGGCTTGCTGTTCAATTGTTGTTACTGTGTTTTAGCCTTCTTGCTTTCTTCTTTGAGCTTAATAACAATGCTCAAGAAGTCAAACGTTCTTCAGAGAGTGAAAATACAATAAGTAATAATAATACAAAAGAAATAAGGAGCATGGGTCAGCGGATGTGGATTGTACTGGGAGCCAGGCACCATTCCCACCTCTTCCACTCACCTACCATGCAATGAAGGACAAATCTTTTCACTGCTCTAAACAACTCTGTTCTCTGTCTGCTGTCTCCTGGCACTATGTTTTTGTTGGCAGCCCAAAGAACAATATTTTTATATCCTCATGCATACATATATACATGTGTAGGTATGTTTGTGTGTATATATACATACTACATGGCACAGGAGGGCTTCATTTAGAGGCTATAAAACAAATAATAATAATCTGTTGTAGTTGAAATAATAACATAGGAAATGGTGTTAGCAGAGGGGGTTTTTTTTAGACTACTATTGCTATTAAATGAAAGCATTTCCATTCCACCTCTAAAATCCCACTAAAATCATGCGAAGCAAAACCTCTCAGGTCCAAACCACATGGAATGGATCCAAATGTGTCTGAATTAGGTCTCTTTGCCAACATATTTGCAGTTATACCACAATAAGTACCACCAACAGACATCCCTCGATTTTATTTCATAAAGATGCTGATGAGCCTGAAACAACCAAATGGAACTCATACAGGAAATTCTTACAGCAAAAGAATGTCTAACTATTCATGCAGGAACACTTCTCTGATAACAGTCGTTTAATTTGTTAAGTAACTTCTCCTCAAGGATCAGGACTGAGAGGTTACATCTTCCAAGGAAAAGCGTGAGAACTCAGATTGACAAGTGGGTACAAGACAAATGGATGAATAAGATTTAGTAATAGTAGTTTTATGGCACTTTGTGACCTCTCCTCCTCCCTTCTGTCTTCATCTTAGGGACATAAATTTTTCCCCTTAGGACAATATATTACCATCTTTTTGCCATCCTGCACCTTTCTTCCCTTCCAGTCCCTTTCCCCAAATCTACCTTACTTTTCAGAGATGGTTCATATGGTTCATAATGAAACCATGAACAGACTTTTCTTGAGCTCTCAGATCTATTTCAGGGACTGAAGAGGAGCTTGAATGTCTGAATCCTCCTTTAAGTTTTCCAGATACGCTGACATGTCTACCAAAGGTGCTAGATCTATTCTAAAGCCCATCTCAGTTGTGTCCTTCTATCACCAGTCACCCCAAACCAACTGCACTTGTTTGTTGTTGTTCTTTTTAAAAAGAAAGGCATATGGTATGACTCAGATTTTTTCAGACCTCAGTTTTTACCTATACCCCCTTTGCCTAGTGCTTCTTAGTAATAGGTTTATGGCTTTCAGAGGCTGTTGAAGAAAGAGCTGGTTCCTGCATTATGAATCATCCATAGCACTCACCTTTCCACCCTCATCAAATTTTCCCACATGAAAAAACCATTCTCGAGAACAGAACCAGGTTGGCATGATCACAGTAGGTCCGTGGGAGGTAAACACCTAGGGAAAAGGGAAAAAAAGCCAGTATTAGTTACCAGAATATCAAAATCCAGCATCTGTTGGGGAACAAAGTAGACTTACTACATTCACCTGAAATCCTGACAATACTCATGCCTAAACTTAACCTTCAGCAATATTAAGAACTGAGAAATTCAAGTGCTTAAAATTTAGCATGTGCTTAGTGTTTAAACTGTGGTGTAATAGACTCATAGAATAATTAGGGTTGGAAAGGACCTTAAGATCATCCAGTTCCAACCCCCCTGCCGTGGGCAGGGACACCTTATGCTAAATCACATCACCCAAGGCCTCGTCCAACCTGGCCTTGAACACTGCCAGGGATGGAGCATTCACAACTTCCCTGGGCAACCCATTCCAGGGCCTCACCACCCTCACAGGAAAGAATTCAGAAGAGAATTCAGAGCAGCCCTGCGGAGAAGGACTTGGGGGTGTTGGTTGTTGAGAAACTGAATGTGAGCAGGCAGTGTGCACTCACAGGCCAGAAAGCCAAACATATCCTGGGCTGCATCAAAAGGAGCATAACCAGCAGGTCGAAGGAGGTGATCCTGCCCATCTACTCTGCTCTTGTGAGACCTCACCTGGAGCATTGTGTGCAGTTCTGGTGTCCTCAATATAAAAAGGACATGGAACTGTTGGAACAAGTCCAGAGGAGGCCACGAGGATGATCAGGGAGCACCTCCTGTATGAAGATGGGCTGAGAAGGTTGGAGCTGTTCAGCCTGGAGAAGAGAAGGCTGCGTGGAGACCTCATAGCAGCCTTCCAGTATCTGAAGGGGGCTTACAGGGATGCTGGGGAGGGACTCTTCATTAGTGACTGTAATGACAGGACAAGTGGTAGCAGGGTTGTGAATGCTCCATCCCTGGCAGTGTTCAAGGCCAGGTTGGACAGAGCCTTGGGTGAGATGGTTTAGTGTGAGGTGTCCCTGCCCATGGCAGGGGGATTGGAACTAGACGATCTTAAGATCCTTTCCAACCCTAACTACTCTATGACTCTATGTCGCGTGGGACAGTGTCGAACGCTTTACACAAGTCCAGGCAGATGCCATCAACTGCTCTACCCCTGTCCATCAGTTCTGTAGCCCCATCATAGAAGGCCACCACATTGGCCAGGCAGGATTTCCCCTCAGTGAAGCCATGCTGGCTGTCACCAAGCACCTTGTTGATTTTCATGTGCCTTAGCATGCCTTCCAGGAGAATCTGCTCCAAGATTTTGCCAGGCACAGAGGTGACACTGACTGCTCTGTAATTCCCCAGTCATCCATTTTCCCCTTCTTGAAAATGGGGGTTATATTTCCCTTTTTCCAGTTGTCAGGAACTTCACCTGACTGCCATGAGTTCTCAAATATGATGGCCAGCGGCTTCGCAACTTCATTTGCCAGCTCCTTCAGGACCCACGGACTTGCGCACGTTCAGGTTTTTAAGATGGTCTCGAACCAGTTCCTCTCCTACAGCGGGCGCAAGGTCTTCATTCTCACAGTCCCTGCGTCTGCCTTCCAAGGCTTGGGTGGTTTGGTCAGAGCCTTTGCCAGTGAAGACCGAGGCAAAGAAGTCATTCAGAACCTCAGCCTTCTCCAAATCCTGAGTAGCCAGTTCTCCTGAGAGCTTCCTGAGGGGGCCTACATTCTCCCTAGTCTGTTTTTTATTTGCTATGTACTTGTAGAATCCCTTCCTGTTATCTTCAATACCTCTAGCTAAGTTTAATTCTAACTGGGCCTTAGCTTTCCTAACCTGGTCCCTAGCTTCCCGGCCAACATCCCTGTACTCTTCCCATGCCACCTGTTCTTGCTTCCACTTATTATAAGCCTCTTTTTTCAACTGAATTTTCCTCAGGAGCTCCTTATCCATCCAAGGAGGTCTCCTGGCCCTCCTGCTGCACTTCCTTCTGGTTGGGATGCAACACTCCTGAGCTTGCAGCAGGTGATCCTTGAATATCAACCAAGAGTCTTGGGCCCCCCACCCTCTAGGGCAGTATCCCATGGAACCTTCCGAAGCAGGTTCCTGAAGAGGCCAAAGTCTGCTCTTTTGAAGTCCAGGCATTGAGCTTGTTGCACGCTCCTCTCCCTGTCCTGAGGATCTTAAATTCGAGCATCTTGTGATCGCTGCATCCAAGGCTGCCCTGGAGTGTCACATTTCCAACAAGCCCTTCCCTGTTGGTGAGCACGAGATCAAGCATGGCACCTCTCCTTGTCGGCTCCTCTATTACTTGCAGAAGGAAGTTGTCTTCCACACAATCGAGGAACCTCCTGGATTGCTTGCGCCGGGCCGTACCGTCCTTCCAACAGATGTCAGGGTGGTTGAAGTCACCCATGAGAACAAGGGCCTGCGAGCGTGAGGCTTTTCCTGTCTGTCTATGGAGTGCTTCATCCACAGGTTCCTCTTGATCAGGCAGTCTGTAACAGATCCCCACAGTAACGTCTCCCATAGCTATATTCCATTTAACCCTGACCCACAAACTCTCTGTGGGCTGCTCACCTGTCCCCAGACAGAGTTCCATACTCTCCAGCCTATCCCTAACATAAAGGGCAACTCCCCCTCCCCACCTGCCAGGCCTGTCTTTCCTAAAGAGCCTGTAACCTTCCATTCCAACACTCCAGTCATAGGAGCCGTCCCGCCATGTTTCTGTGATGCCTATTATATCATACCCCTGTAGACGCGCACACATCTCCAATTCCTCTTGTTTGTTCCCCAAACCAGCACCTTTGAGGTGTCATAGCCAAGAGATTAGTCTGCTTCCTGCTTCATTAGATAGAAGGAAGTTCTTCCCTGTGAGGGTGCTGAGGTGCTGGCACAGGGTGCCCAGAGAAGCTGTGGCTGCCCCATCCCTGGCAGTGTTCAAGGCCAGGTTGGACACAGGGGCTTGGAGCAAGCTGCTCTAGTGGAAGGTGTCCCTGCCTGTGGCAGGGGTTGGAGCTGGATGAGCTTTAAGGTCCCTGCAAACCCAAACAATTCTATGATTAACATTCCATAGCCTTCTCTTCTGTCATAGGTTGCAGCACATGCAGAATACTTCAAACTTTATTTCAAATTTAGAGAGTTATACTGGAAATGACACTTCTATTAATAATGGCAATATTGATATTGAAGTCAATGAATTAAGAAGAAACTTAAAAAGGTAAAGTTCTTAAGCTTAACACAGATGAACCTCAAGCTCCCGTTCCAACCTGGTTTTCTATGATTCCTTATACATATATTGAGTAGGAGCTTTCACTGATCTTTTATTTCTGCCAAAGACACTTAAAATCTTAATCAAGGTCAGCCAAGTAAGATGCAATTGATTTTAAACATTACCAGAACATTATGGATTTGCTTGCTACCCAGTGGTACCTACCTTAAAAGGTTGTTGGAAAGAAAATGCTTTAGGGACTCAAAAGGGAGATGCTATTAATTACATCCCCTTGACTAGTGACAGCTAAGAACTATACAAACTGGTCTTTGCAGCTTTAAGCAAACGTGTTGTAAACACAACTGTGAAATGAACCAGAATCTGGATTAGGGAAGGTAAACTGGTTCTTTCTTTTGTTCCCAGATGAAGTATCTGGCCAAACAAGAGACTGAACTTGTCAAACAGAATGTGTGCAGTTAAGCCAGGAGGCTGCCTGCTTCCAAGAGCTACAGAGGAAATAAGGAGCTTCTGCCTTCAGGAAGGCAGAAGAAACCTCACAATTACTGCCATTCTCCAAACACTAATGAAAATGCTCATCTTATGAGCAGGTGATTTCATAGCATGCTCTGGTGGTAATATTAATATTCCTGTGTAGTTGGCAGTTTTAAACATCAGCACATGAATGTAAATTTTGACATGTGCATCCAAGCATTTACATTTTAAAGATGCTCCTCTTGACTTTCAACCCGGGATAGAAATCCTTCAACTCTTCTTATGCCTGGCAACTTCCATTTCCACAGATAAACACAGGTTTAAACCCCAGATTTTACACACCCAGCTCTATACAGACCAACTCTCCAAACAAAAGGGATTAAAAATGTAACCAAAATAGAACAGGTGATCTGCTCCCACTTATTGCAGGAACCATCCGACCAGACACAGGCATCCACGTTAAGGTGAAGACATAGACACATTGCATGCTAACCCCAGGAACATAATGATAGAACTTCCCTGTCCGTAAAGCGCCCCTTGGGTGACCCATCTTGACACAGACACTTAAATTTTGGACAGTTATATTTAGGCAGAAGAATCCAATCACTTAATGGCTACCATTAACACACTAGCAGCTTGCGCATAACTGAAATAACACTAGATTCAGAGGTGCTAAATGTCAAAATCCCCCCCCCCCAAAGTCAGTGGGAGCTGAAAGAGACAAAAAAACAACCCAGAAAATCAGAGCAAACATGATTACTCAGCACATGGTTATTAGCTCCACACTAATTACAAGGGTGATTGAGTACAGCCTGAACCAAACAATGACCAAACAGTAATCCCAAAAGAAAACAACAGTGGGGAGAAAAGCGAGGCTGGAATGCATTGCATTGAATCTCATTTCGGAATGAAAGAATCTCCAAAAGAAAAGTCTTGAGCCTATTGGCATACGTAAAATGCATTTGGAGAGGCTAGAATGCTATTCCTCAGTGCAGCCAGGTTCAGAGAGCAGAAATGCACTTAAAGATGTAGCTCAATGTAATTGGTCACGCTCACATGTAATGAGCATGTATCCCAAATATATTATACAATCTCTGTTCCATTGATTTATGAACTTAGCCCAAACCAAAGAGAAGAAATTTCAAACACTAAGAAAAGAAAAAAAGCCCACCAAAATGGTACTTCTGTTAACACAGATGATGATATGGTTATGAAGATTATGTATCAGACTGTCACACACTAAATACACTGATGTCTTTTCCCAATTTGGTGTTCTATGGCTCACTGTCCCCTCCAGAAAAGATACTAGAGGGGAAACACACAGCCAAAACTGAGACTGATGATGACACATATGACTTCAGGGTCTCATTATTCCAGAAAGTCTTTGA